ACATTTCTGGCCGGCCGAGCCGAGCCGAGCTTCGGCATTTTTATTTTTTAAATAAAAATGCATTTTTCCTCCAAAGTCTTTGAGCAAATTCCAGAGACAAACCCTTATTCTCCATCATCTGATTCGCATCGCCATCTTCCCCCCGCACCCCCTCCCCCTCCACAAAAAAAAATAAAGGACCATCGCCATCCCTTCCTTCTCTGGTGGAAGGATCGAGACTGGACTGAACCATACAGTACCTCAATAAAAAAGAGGTGAAAAAGTGGGTGGTCCTCCAAAAATCTTCTTTTTTTCGCTAAGGCCTTTTTTTTCTTCCATACGAAAGCAATTATTCTTTATCACTCTCTCACTTCTTCACCTAAAAAAAATAATAATATAATATAGTCTATATTGATTGGGATCTAAAATCGAGGTTACCCTCGGTCACTCTCACCCGCGCGAAGCGCGGACGTCAAATCGCGCCAGCGATTTCACCTTCTCTATCTACTACTGAGCAACAGGCCAGCCACAAACCAATACATGTAAATCCCCCCCAACCTTTGATCACGTCTTTCGTCCTTTTAATTCTCTTCATGTTCATTCAATTCTCTTCTTCTTTTAGTACATGTATTTGCAATCCTGTTTTCTTCTTCTTCTTTGTCGTGTTTTTGGCTGTTAGACTGTGCGTTTTTTTTTTTTTTTTTTTTTCGTTGTTTTCCATTGACTTTGCATTGAAGGAACAGCAGCAGCGTCATCATTGTTTTTGGTCTTTGCTGCGCCGCGCCAATTTGAGATTGCGTTCCTTCTCTCGTCGCCGTCCCGCTCCAGTCGCCGTTGTTGTTATTGTGCAGAGGCAGAGCTGCGGCAGAGTCGATGAGCACTCCGAGCAGCGAGTTCAGCGTAACAACCAACACAAACGAAAACCGAGACAGCCAACTTGGCTGCCCCTTTTCCTCCTTCCTTCCTCTGTGGCTGCTGCTGCTGCTCTCATTCTCTCTCGCTTGCATATCTGCTCGAGTGGGGTTCAGTCTGCAACATTGGGCTCAATCATGCAACCCCACAAACCCCCTGTTTGACAATCTAATCTGCTCACTTTGCCCCTCTCAAAACTCACTCTCTCGTCTTTTGCTTTTGGGTCATCATCCAGACGCAGCTGTTCTGGACGCACCCGTCGCTGGATTTCCGTCAAGTTTTCAGTCCAACTTGCACTTGTCTGCGAATTCGAGCTGAGGTGATAGCGACAAGTTCCATCGGAAGCTGCCCCAAAAGCTGTCGTCGTCATCCCCCTACTGCCAGACGTTTCATACTGCTCAAGTCATCAAGCACACTCCAACACAAAAAAGGAATTATCGTCGTTTCTGTGAACTAGCGCGTTAAACAACAAAAAAGGCGTTCGGTCGCTGCTGCTGGTGTCGCTTTTCTGTCATGTGGAGCATCCCGTCCATCCCGCTGCTGCCGGATGCGCTCCAGCGAACATTCACAGACGCGCTTCAAAAACGCGTCCTCAAGTTCCTGCTGAAGCGCACGGTCGGACAGTTTCTAGCATCCGAGCTGCAGCTGGATCAGGTTGACGTTCAACTCGGCGATGGTCGGGTTCACCTGCACAATCTTGCGCTCGACGTCGATGTAAGCGCGGCATTTTTTGAGGCATCATCAAAAGGTGAGCAGGCGAGCAGGCGTCTCACTTGTTTTTTTTTTCTGCCCTGAACGCAGAGCCTCAACCAACAAGTAGCCGATCTGCCCTTCCGCATCACCCACGGATCGATCGGAACCATTCGCGCCTCCATTCCGTGGAAGGACATTTGGCGGGGCAGCTGCGAACTCGAGTTTGACAATTTACGAATCTGTCTTTCGCCCAAAACAGAACAGGACTTTGCTGCCGGTAACTCCCATCGATTTTTGTGTGTGTTCTTCATCGAAGGCGCTCTCACTTTGGCCTGCTTCCTTTTCGTTGTTGGTCTTGCCGGACAACGCCAGCGAACGATGCCAAAGACGTTGCACTCGCCCTGTCCATGTCCACTGCCCAACTTGCCACAGAATTCATGAAGCAAGAAAAGGGAAATTTGTTTCCAGATGCGGCCAGTCCATCGGCAGGAAACAGCTCATTTCGCGCGACCAGCCCTACAGGCGCGGCTGCGGCTGCTTCTGCACGCAGCGACAGCGGCGGTGCGTCCTCTTCCACCTCCTCCTCCAACAACAAGGAGATGGATGGACTCTACTTTTTGCACGGGCTGATTGAAACTGTGCTGGCCAAAATCAAGGTTCGCTTGCTGCGAACAGAAGTTGTGGTCGAGCAACGCTCCACCATCACCAACACTCTCGTCTCCCTGTCCATTCGTGTGAATGAGCTGAGCTATAGCGATGTCACCCCGGGTCTCGACGACGACTCTGCAGAAAACTGGAATGGCAAGCCGAGCGCAGACACTGGCAGCACGAGCGCTGCCACCACCGCCACTGCATCCTCGTCGGGTCTCCCTCCAACCGGCACGACGGGGCCTTTCGCATCCTCGTTTGCGCATGGCACGCAGGGCACCGAGGCGCTGCGCACTCGCTTTGCCGGCATTCTGACCGAATCCATAAAAAATGTGCGCATCTCCGGGCTCTCGGTGCACTTGGACGAAGCTCCATTGGTCCCCTCTGCACCGGCATCGCCACTGGTGCCGACGGGTCCGCTCGCCAGTCTTGCAAAGCCGGTAGAAAGTCGGCCATTTTCGTCGTCGGCAGCCACCATGGCGAGCAGTGACATGTTCTCTTCGGCGTTCGCTGCTGGCGGCGAGGCGTCAATCATGGGCGCATCCTCATCCATCCCTCTGGGTGATCCCGACGTGGCGACTGGTGCCGAGAGTGTCTACCACCCTGCGCCCTTGGACTTTGCCTCGCTGCAAACGCCTCTAACGCCGCCCTTCCAAACTCCGGACATGTTTGCTTCGGCGCAAGAGGATTTCTTTCCGTCATCCGGAGCAGCCCCACCAGATCGCCCTCTTCTCGCTTCTGCGACCCTGTCTTCGGGGGGACGACCATCCCAGAAGACTGCTTCTACTGCGGCGGCTTCGACACCAGCCTCGCCTTCCAGTGCTTTGCGTCCGGGTGTGAAAGCGCCCTATGCCACCGCGATCGCCGTAACAGACGAGCAGCGCCCTTCTTGGATTAAAGTTCGATTCCGGCACGCCGCGGGAGAGCAATTTGCGGCAGCTTCAGCCCCGAAAGGGGACATTGAGTGCTTTATTCACTCCTTTCACGTCTTCCTTTCTCCAAAGCAATACCATGTGGTGATTGCCGTCGTCGACTCGCTCATGCTCGCAGTGAATTTGCAAGCGCAGCACGCGGAAGAGCAACGCATGGTGCAGCTGCGGACTGAGCGGGCTGCTTTTCAGTCCAGAGGACCCGAAGTCGCTTCCGAGCCGACAACGACCACCGCCGCAAACCCATCATCAACTGCGCCGCTGCGCGCAAACTTTGGGGCTTCAGAGTTTGTCGAACCTCAAGCGCAAACACTGGCTCAGTCGGACATTTATCGGATCCAATCGCTGTTGGAAACGCACAGCCGGCAAAAGCGTCGCAGCATGTCCAAGCAGGAGCGTCAACAGCAAAAGGAGCTGACAGACTCGTTCTTGTCCGAGTCGTTTACATCCAGTTCCAGCTTCCTGGGCCCTGAAGCAGCCCGTGAGCGCGGTGCATCATCCGATCCCGACAGTCTTGCCAAACGCCCGCCCAAGCAAAAGCAGAAAGCAGCTCGGAAGGCACCAAAGCGCGACATGACGAGCAGTATCGCAGATTTGCATGAAAGCATCCGAATGAAAGATTCGGCGCTGTTTGCGCCTGCCGCCTCCTCCTTTTCCGATGCTGGTGCTTCTCACTACCTCCCAGCAGCATCGTCCTTCATGCACGCTGACGATACCGATGACACGCACGATCCTATGGCTTCGTTGCTGGGCGAAATGGGCATGCGTCCTTCGCACTTGCTCTCATCTTCCAGCGGTGGCGGTGGCGCCGCGTTCGGATCGGGCCTGGTCCGTGGACATTCTGCGCGTCAGGGCATTGCCGCCGGCAGCGCAAACTACACTCCAGCAGGTCCATTTTTGGAGGCGTTGGATGAAAATGCAGCCGAGCTTGAGCTGGTGCAGAATGCCGCGTCCCCTCGTCCGCTGCTTGAAGCCACCGCCATCCACACCGACACGGATGACGACGACGACGACGACGACGACGACGATAATGATGATGCCAAAGACGAAGACGGCGATGACGGGGAGGACGACACAACTTCGGACCGTGACGGCAGCGACGACGATGACGACCAATTCGACGACGAGGATGACACGAGCTCGATGCAGTCGTCTTCCTTCCACCCCAATGCTGCCAGCACCGGTAGCGACGTGTTTTACGATTTGAGCGAAATCAGCCTTCAGCCCAAAACTCAACCTTTGGCGGACGCGACAAACCAGCCAACTCGCGGCACAGATTCACTATTCGCGCTCAAGATTGAGGTTCGAGGAGGCTCGTGCACCTTGCTGTTCGAAGAGCACGAACAAATGCAGCAGATTCGCACAAAGTATTTCGAATTTGTCGTCCATCGGATGAGGAAGCACCATTTGTCCAACCACCTTTGCGCTGACGAGCGGTTTGTCAACGACCTACTGTCCACCACGTCCTGTGACCACCTCCAGTTGGTGTTTTCGCGGCTGGTATTGAAGATGAATCAATCAGCTGCTGGCAGCAAGACAGATCTCACGCTCGGCAAACTCGCCGTTCACGAGGCCCACATCAAAGCGCCCAGTGCAAGCACGGCCCACCCGCCGTCCAAGTCTGGTCTTTCTAAAACCACCGTTCTGCTGTTTGATGCCGATTTGACGTCGCCAGGGCAGGGCAAGGTCACAATTGACGACATGCTTGGCGTTCGCGCCGCTACCGGCTCCTCGCCTGCTGCAACCCCTTCGATGCAAGCCGCAGGAGCCGCTTTTGGAGGCGTGTTTCTTCCCACTGCAGACCAGCACCTGCTCAATTTGGCGCATGCGTTCGGGCATCACCGGACTTCGCCTGCCAGCGCGCCGCATGTGAAGTTTAGCATCCGTCCGCCTTCCGCTTCTTCTTCTTTTTCTTCTTCTGCTGCTGCCGCCGCCCACGACTTGCATGGCCAGCGGCACCACGACGGAGACAGCTCGTCATCGCTTGATCCTGCTTACACCCTGTCACTTCAGCCTTGCGTGATTGATCTCGATCTCAACCTCTTGAATCGCCTCGGAATGTACTTTGACGTGCGCATGCTGCTCTTGGCGCTTGACGCTGCGATTGCCGAGCAGGCTGCCCTGAACAATATCGAGGCATCCATGCCATCTACCAGCACATGGGCGTCATCCACTCTGCCGGCAGGTGGTCGCTCTGCACGAGGTCAACCCGCTGATCTTGGCAGCAACGCCCACTTTGGAAGGACGTTCACGGCCGATCACACTCTGTTCAACGCCGGACCCCCGCTCAGTAGCGGATTCTCTTCTGTCAGCGCCTCGTCCAATCCGCTGCTCAGCCGCTATCTCGCTGAACGAGCCCGCCTCGGCCGTTCAGACACCCTGCAACCAAATGTCGAGGCAGGAGGCTCCAGCCAGCTGGCGTTCGCCCTCAAGTGCGCCTTGCTGCGAGTCATGCTGCACTTCCCCGTCGTGGATTTGACCATTCCGGAAAAGTCTTCGTTGGCCGCCTCTGTTGGCTCTCTGATTCCAGACCACAAGCAAGACGACGACTTGGACTCTTCCCCACCACTGCAACTCCCAGAGTATCCAGCGTGCTTCTTCCGGGGCCTTCTCCATCCTGAAGTGGTTGCAATCGACCTGATTTCGCTCGCAGCGACCATCATCACAGTGCCCACGGGCGACATGACGGTGGCGATTCATTTTGAGCAGCTCGTCGGCCTCATCAAGCTCGATGCTTCGCCACTGACAAACTGGATTCCTTTCATGAACGTACTCGGTGCAAGCTCTGCGGCGGACAGCTCGGAAGACGCGGTGCGTAAGGTGCTGGACTCGCCCAGCCTCGTGGTTCACATGTATCCGAACATTGCCGCGAGCATTGAGCACGAGTTCCATTTGAGCCACTCGCATCCTCGACACCAATCCTCCCACCACCGCGGCAGCTCGCTGCGCGACTCCTTTTCTGGCGGCCGTGCTGGAAATCGAGATAAGAGTGGTCCCGATTTGGGCGCTGCCAAGGCTACTCCCTTCACCTCACGCTACGGTGATCACGGAAGCCAGGGGAATGTCCTCGTGGCCGCCGACGACGAGACCCAGGACGAGTTCGAGCGCGAGTGCATTGCCGAATCCGAGTATGTGATTGAGTGCATCTTCCCTGTCGTCCACCTCACCCTGTCCAAGCCGATGATTGATCTCTTGTACGTTCGCTTCAACGACCTGGCAATGTGGTCTCCTGGCCCCGCCTTCTCGCTCAACACGCTCCTCGGGCAGCCAAAGGACGAGTTTGCGCCGGCAAATGAGAGCGAGGCCGACTCTGATTCTGACGACAGTCTGCACAACGACCCAAGTCTCTTGAGCGGCCGCTCACGCTCGGCCTCGCGAGCCGGCTCTGGTCGCAGCTCTGGTCGCAGCTCTGGATACACCTCGGGAAGCGAAGGGTTTAACGATGACGACGACAGCGATTACGAGGCGGCCAAGCGCGATTTCGCTCCCTCCCATCTCGATCGACTGGCCCATGTTGCCACTTCTGCCTCTAGCTCTGTTCGTGCTGTCTTTGAAACTGCCACCAAGATCCTGGCAGATGCCGGCATCCAGTCTGGGGAGGGCTTCTCCGTTCGGAGCTCAGCCCGCTCCAGCCGAGCGGGAAGGGCCTCGTCGCGGTCGCACTCGCGGTCTGGCTCGCGCAGCGCCAGTCGTGCGCGCTCGAGCGAATTTACGACGCTCCCACCGCTCCACCGCGACCCCAGTTCCGGCGATGCCAACAAGGATGGTATGTTTGACGAGGAGGATGACGACTCCAAGCCTCGACAGCCAACCTTCCTGTCGCTGTCGTTGACTGTCGGAACGGGTTTGATTCATCTGGACGAAGTGCAGCCCTTGTCTACTGCTGCTCAGAATGCCGCACCGCGGATTGGCTTGCGTCTCGAGGTGACGAGTCTGGCCATGTTCCACGCGGAACAGTACCAAGGCCACACCCGAAAGTACATGAGCATTCGGTCGGACGATCTCGCGCTGCTGCAAGTGGTGCCCGGGTCCCACGAGGTGGTTGCACCCATCTTGGCCCGATCGCCCGTGCAGCCGTTGAGTCAGCCTTCGAACTCGAGGATGGTCTGTGTCGCGCTTCGCATTGATGCCGACTTGCCACAGCGTGTCAAGCACTTGACAACTTGCGTCGATTTCCGCGACATGACCTGGACGCACGAGAGTACGGCTGGCGAGAATTGGATTTTCCATTTGATGGAGCTCATTTCGTTCCCAGACACGGTGACGCCAGGATATGTGCCATTTTCGACCATGGTCCGCTTGGGCATCAGCGCCGAGAATCTGTGCGTCGACTACTCTCCGGTCTACTGTGCTGGTCGTGCCGTCTTCCACGTAGGCCATGTTCGCGTTGGCAGCAACATTGTTCCCTTGTCCAACTCGACCGTGCTGAGCTTTGGCTTCCGCGAGGTGTCGCTCTTCCTTGTCAACAATGTCCGCTCGTTGGTTCTTCCGCTCGCGATTGTGCGTCAAGGCGTCCGCGCCGCCCCTCGACCGAACGGCTCCATTCCAACCGCGTTGTTGGACCAGTCTTTGGCTGCCATGCTCACGCCGTCCCTGCGAAACTTTATCGACCCGGCGTTCGTCCCGGAGGTCCCGCTGCCCGGAGCTGATTCCGCGTTTGAGGTGCCATCCGCCATCCCTGACGCTGCCCTGACCCTAGACCAGCTCAACACATTCCGCCAGAGGCAAGCGGAACAGCGCACCGCATTTGCACAACGGCGGCAGCAGCTTGTGAGCCTGCCTGTGATTGTCATGTCCGTTCCTGCGTACTTGACAACAGCCGGTTTTGCCAAGGTTGTCGATGCGGACATTCTGGATTTGACCATCACCACCAATTCCTCGGGTCTCGGAAAGGCTGCCGCTGCTGCTCTAGCCGCGGCAGTGGCAGCCGTGCCTCCCCACCTGTACTCGCATTCTTCCGACAGCAACGCACGGACCATTTTCATGCCACCTTCTGTTCCAGCCGAGTTGATTTCGCCCTCACCCGCGCCGCCGCCGTCGTTCCAGCTGGAGATTCTCAACCGCCGAGTCACCGTTTCCACCTGTGCAGATTCGTTTGTGTATTTGATTGAGCTGCTCCGGTATTACTTTGACGGTGTGGACCTTGTGGATTGGTCGAGCGTCTCGCTTCCAACCCTCCGATCCAAGCATCGGCCCGCGACTGGCGCTGCTTCCACTGGTGTTTCTGCTTCGTCTGATGGTGGCGCGGCAAGCAGCACCGAGCCCACTCAGCCTGCTGCAGGCGACACCAGCGACGACACCGGAGACGGCGACGGAGACGGTTTGGGCGCTGCTGATGCTATGCCACAACAGCAGCAGCAGCAGCAGCAGCAGGCGGCGACAGAGTCGGCTCCGCGTGACTTTGTCAACTTGGACGGCGTGCATTCGCCCCCGGTTGACAAAGGCCCCTTGCACTGGTATGACATTGCAGCTCGCCCCGTGGGTCCTGCTCCGGAGGGCGACCAAAGTGCGCACATTGAGAACGAGCTTGTTTCCACGCTTGTGGATGAGCGGGAGCTCTCCGCCCACGGGCCACGGTTTACCTCTGCTGAAGAAGTCAGTCGTGCTGAAAAGGCAGCCCACCGTGCCAAGCTGCTGCAGCAGCGTGCAGAAACCCGAGCTGTTGCCGTAGAATCCGACGACGATGGCGAGTTTGCTGCGACAGCCGAAGGACACTCGACTGGAATGGACACGCGCGGCCAGCCAATGGGTGGCAGTTTCATCGAGGACTTGTTTGTTCCAGCTGAGCACTTGCGGACTGACTCGTCGCTGAGCAACCTCGAGCGCAAACCTTCTTCTGCGTTCATCCCGATCCCGTCATCATCAAGCACCCCCAGCAATATTCCTCCCGTCAGCGATGCTCTCGATCATGACGAGTCTCTGTTTGCATTCTCTGGCGCATACATTGAGCGGCTTGGATCCGAGGAGGGCGACAGCGATGATGACGAGGAAGAGCTGGACCAACGTTTGACGACGACCAATCTTCCCCAGACTGCTGCTGCCGCCGCCAGCTCCTCGTCGAGTCGACTGACCCTTGACGACGGTGATCTCACCACCACGCCACAGACTGCCAAACCTTCCACTCTAATCGCACGCCATGGGCTGATTCCGTCCAAATCTGGCGCTGGAACGTCTGCCGAACAGGCTGCCGTTGCTCGCTCCTCTGCACTTGATGGCCATTCCCAATCGCGGTCATCTGATCCTGCCACGCAGCAGGTGCCAATGTTCCGCGCCAGCGAGCGCCCCTCCTCTGCCTCTGCGACTGCGACGGCGACGCGCTCGTCTCCCGGTCCAGCCGTTGCTGCAGCGTCTGCTTCGTCCGATTCTTCGTCCGTTGACCCGCCCCGACCTGTCTTGTATGACAGCGGGGTCGGGTCTTCACATGCTGACAGCCTGCCTCGCGTCATTGTCTACGAGCCATTGAACTTTGTGGAAACCCACTTTTCGGTCACGACGGACGATATGGAGCAGCAGTCGCTCAAGCCGCCCTCGCACATGCCATTCTCGATGGAGCGATTTATCGCGCGTGACATTGCATTGTCTTGGCGCATGTTTGGAGGCCGAGACTTCCGCCCAGTGGCCGGCACGCCGGCCGCGAGCGATGCAGGAGCTCAGCATGCCTCGCGCAACACTGACCAGGCCATCGAGGTCGTTGTGGATGGACTGAGCTTTGAGTTTGACTCGTTCCCTGGCCTCATCCCGCTTGCATCGCGACTCGTCGTCCATGTCAAGGACTTTGAAGTCCGCGACCGGCTCCAGGTGTCTCAAACCAACAAGTTCCTCTGCTACTGGCGTACAAAGCGCCGGCCGCGCGTGACTGGCTCCAACATGATTGAGCTTGAAATGCTGAGCGTCCGTCCCGATCCTCAGCGCTCGACGGAGGAGCTGCGGCTTGATGTGAAGCTGCTTCCTCTCCGCATCAACGCCGACCAAGATGCCATCATGTTCCTGGTCAACTACTTTACCCCATCCGCGTCGATCGGACCCTCGTCCGTCCCCACGCGTCCAAGCGCAACAATGATTGCGACCGCTACAGTCTCTGCCGCTGCCGCGACTGTTGCGACCGCTGCAGCCTCGACGATCGCCACTGCGGCGACCGCCGCCACCAAGCTGCAGGCCAACAACCCCTCCGCCGCCAGAGCCGCACCATCCTTGTCGGCCGAGCAAGGCGCCGAACTGCACGCTGCCTCGGAAGAAGACGCAGCAGTGTTTATTCAGCACTGCGTCGTGCACGCGCTGCGCGTCCGCATCGACTACCAAGCCAAACGCATGGACTTGTCCCGCTTGCGCAATGGCGAGTACTTCCAGCTGCTCTTCTTGCTTTCGCTGGAGGGCGCCGAGCTCTACCTCAACCATCTTGAGGTGAGTGGTGCGCAGGGCTTTGACAGGCTGCTGATGCACATTGGCGCGGGCTGGCTTCCCCACATCAAGTCGACGCAGCTGCCCAGCGTGCTTGCCGGAATACCCCCGTTCCGCTCGTTGGCCAACCTGAGTTCGGGTGCCGCCGATCTCATCATGCTGCCCATTCGGCACTACCGCCAAGGGGGCCGGTTGACGCACGGCATCCAGCGCGGTGTCAACTCCTTCCTGACGACGGCTGGCTTGGAGACGCTCAACCTTGCCTCTCAGGTGGCTGTGGCTGCCCAGCAAGGGTTGGAGTTTGTCGAGGACGTTCTTGTGCCTTCGCAGTCTCCGATGACGACCACCACCGCCACTGGCACCGGCATCGGCACCGCCACCGCCGACGTTCAGCACGATGCGGCCGCGGCTTCTTCCAGCCGTGAACCAAATCCGCAGGTCTTTCTCGCACACTCCAACCGAACGTACCACGCAACAAGCGAATGCTTCCTTTTGCGGCGAAGCGAGGCTGTTGTGCCTGTTGGGCTGACTTCGGCTCTGCAACTTCGCTTTACGCCGTGCGAGTCGTGCAAGCCCCCGTCGGCCTTGGCGGATCGCCACTTCCATCCCTCCAAGTACGCCGACCAGCCAGAGGGTCTCCAAGACGGTCTGCGAAGCGCGTACTCGAGTTTGACGCGCGGTCTCACCGAGACGGCCTCCACCGTGTCCCACTTTTCGCACAGCGAGCAAACCCGAGCGGGAGGCAAAACACCCACTGCCTACGTGCGTTCCGCTGTGCGGGCTGTTCCTGTTCTTGTTCTTCGACCCATGATTGGTGTCACCGAGGCTGTCGCCAAGACGCTCAAGGGAGCTCGCAACGAGCTCGACCCTTCTGCGCGCCTCGACATGCAGGACAAGTACAAGACGAACAATGAGAGTCTTTTGTAACGAGTACATGTATGTACTGTTTGTGTGTGTGTTTTTTATGATTCCAGATTCTGTTCAAAATACAGTCGGATGAGATGAAAGCGTTGGAGTGTTTGTCACCTAACTAACAGTCATTGAACGACACTCATCATGTTTGCTGATGTTTAATTCTGCACTACTGCATCACCTCTGCTTTGTTTTTTGTGCCAGTCTCCTTTTTTATTTTGTCTGACCTTCCCCGTGCTTCCTCATTCAAAAACAACGAGACTCGATGCAAAGCGCCAGAGAAAGCCGGCCTGGAACGCCAATGGTCGTCACCAGTGCTTCTGCAACGCCCGTCCCGACGCCGCCGGTTGCGTCCGCCGCGCCTCAGCTCGTGCCAGAGCAGTTTGTCTTCCTGCCGATGGTCGTGCAGCTGCTCGAGACGCTCCGCTCGACCGAGGACGCCGTGTCGTTGAGCGCGCATCGACTGGTGAGCGCGCAGCTCTTGTTTCCTGTTGCGAGCGATTCTCCTCCTCGTGCGTGTGCCTGTGCTAACTGGTGGTTTGTGTGTTTTCTCTTGTGCCCTTTGTCTGTCTTTTTGTGTTGGTCTCGGCTTGGCTGGGCGGGGCGGGCAAAGGTGGCTGGCTTGAATGCTAAAATCGCCCAATGTCGGCAGGTTCTGGACGCGCTTGCAGGCGCGCAATACACTCAAGAACAGCAGGAGCAGCTGATAAAACACTACGAGGACGCGCTTGTTCATAAAAGGTGCGTCTGCATTGGCAAGTACGGACGAGACGTGGTGCAAACCTCTGTCTCACTTTTTGTTTTTCGTTTCAACAACTCAGAGACCTCATTCGACAGTACCAAGCGCTGCCTGTATTTCAACGAGCATTAGAAAACACATTATCGGCGTCCGCGGAGCGTTCAAGTCACAATGCAACCGATGCACAGCAAGAAAATGGCGACGCAGCATCAACCATCGCCGTTGATCCTCTTTCCGTCACAGCTGAGCCCATGGCGCTCTGAATCGCAACATGTTAAGAAATGAATCGCCATTCCGATGGTATTGGATCGCGGGCAACGAGACAGAAGGTTGGAAAAAGCAAATATTACAGCGACTCCAATCACGCCGAGTTTCTATCCATCACGAGAGTTCCTCACCGCGTTGCGCAAATATGCCACAGATAGCGGAAATGACAAACGCACAAAAGGATTAAAAAATAATACTGTTTACTTTGCTATGTTAGTTGTTTTGGAAAGATGACAGGAATCGAAAACCCATGAAAAAGGGTTCAAAAAAGAAACAAAAATCGATAAAACGCAAAAAAAAAAAGGAAAGGGTCGGGTCGGTCACACACGCAATCCTGAGTGCGCGACGGCCGAGAGAAAAAATGAGGTCGAAAAGCCAAACCAATAAGGAAAAAAAAATGTGCAATCCAGACTCAGAAAAGGTCGACAGGCCCTTCAAGGAGCAGGTCCTTGGTGGGCTGGGAAATTTCCATGGCTTGAACTTCTTGAGCAGTGTGATGAGAACGGATGGCTCGCTGACACAGCACTTCCAGTGATAAGAGCGGGCGAACTGAGCACGCACGAAGAAACAAGAAACAAGAAAAAAAAAAATAAAGTCAGCAAAGTTTCAAACAACGACAGAGAAACAAGTCAGCGAATACCAACAACCGACACAAAGAAACACAAACGAAAACATACCGATGGGGGCAGTGCGAACGGAGGGGTCGCGTCGGGCCAAAAGATCCTTCAGTTTCGTGCGGTAAGTCTCGGTCAGACGGTAGGGATCAGCACCGGCCTTCCAGAGCAGCTGCACCAGATCATCATTGGACGCATCAATCGCAATCTGCAGAGGAAGCACGTCGCTGCTAACCATGTTCGGGTCGGCGCCACAGAGAAGCAGGCGACGAACGACACGCGGGTTGCCGTACCGAATTGCGCGGAGGAAGCAGCATTCGCCGTTCGTGGTGCGGTTTGACACGCGCGCACCCATGTTCAACAGCATGTCAACCAGCTGCTCCTGAGGGGAATTGGCCGAGCGCGTGCGGTGCGCGTTTCGCGGGTTGACCGCCCAAAAAAGCGCATCATGGCCTTGGCGATCGCGCGCCCCAACGTCTGCACCTCGCTCCAGCAGCAGTCGGGCCATGTCATAGTGGCCGTTCATGCAGGCATAGTGAAGCGGGGTCTTGCCGGTAATCTGGCTCCCGCGATTCACATCGGCGCCAAACTTCATCAAGAGTGCAGGAATGTACGAGGTCCGCTCATCCATCAAGACGAGCAGCAAGGGCGTTTCGGGAGCCGTGTAGTACACGCGCGTGACGGGCATTGGCGGAAGCGCGGGCACCGCGGGAATCAATCCAAGCGAGAAGGCGGGCCGCGCAGGGCTTGCTTTTGTCGGAGAGTGGATCATCGCTGCGTTCGTTGCTAGCTGCTGTCGGGGAGCAGCCTTTCGACTGGCAGGCGATGCTGTTGGTGATGCTGCTGGCGAGCTTCCAGCCGCAGCAGCTGCAGCAGCAGCGCGCGTGACGATTCGCTGCGAGTCAGTGATTTGTGTTGCGTTGGTGTTGCTGTTGTTGCTGTTGTTGCTGCTGCTGTTGTTGCTGCTGCTGTTGTTGCTGCCGTCAAGCTCGGCGACCGCAGGGGCAGGGGCAGCAATGGCTGAAGCGGCGTCGACCTCGCCTGACTGGCAGAGACGCCGCCGAGTGCTGGCGCGCGTTTGGGGCCCGTTCGTGGAGGAGCTCTCCTGCGAGGACGTCGGTGACACGTGTTCGCTCGTCGGCTGATCGATCAGCGACTCGGCAGCATCGCGGGATCGGCTCAAGGGTGGCGTCAGGATGAGAGGCGCAGAGAAGGAGCCGGCAGCGCTTGCGGCAGCCACATTGCGCAGAGCAGGAGTTGCCTGCTTTGGCGATGCCGCGCCTTGCTCTCCGCGCTGCAGCTTGCGCAGTCGGAGCTGAACAGAAGTTTCGCAGTCCATGTCACCGTTTGGGTTGGCGCCGCTTTCCAGCAGCAGCTTGCAGACTTGCTCCGCTCGAATAGAATTGGCCGCATTGCCCGCAATGGTGAGTGGTGAGCATTCATGCAGGGGCGGGGTGTTGGGCACAATGTCACGCGAATACTGGCGCATCATAGGCGTGGGAGAAGGGGCACGCGACGGGATGGGCGACTGATATCCAAACAGGTTGGACTGCGATAGCACGGGGCCGCCGCTTGGTCGACGCAGACGCTCGGGGGTGTGATGGCTGCCACCAACTTGTTGGAAGTGCTGCAACAGATGTGCCGGTGTTGGCGAAGCGCTCCGGCTCGTTGGCGTCGAAAATGCCGTTTGAGAAAGGCTGCTAGGAGTACTCGGCGTCGATGCCGGGCCGAAAAAGGGAGTCTGGCCAGCAGCTCGGTGAAAGTCGCGCGCCCACGGGTCGGCGCCATTCATGGGCGATCGCAAGTCGTTCAGCTGCGCTTGCGACTTGCCGTTGACACTCGCGCCGCGCTGCAACAAAAGGGTGCAAATGGGCACATCGTAGCCGTTTGCCGCACGTTGCAGAGGCGTCAAGCCCGACAAGCTGAGTGTGTCAATGTTGGCGCCATGGCTGAGCAAGAGGCCAACCATCTCGACCTGCGACTCTCGGATGGCCCAGTGAATCAGCGACTCGCCGCAGTCGTCCCTCGCATTCGGGTCGCCGGGTCGACTGCGTGCTTCCAAAGAGCCTCTTCGTGGCGTGGCAGGGGATCGTCCAGCGCGTGCAGTGGTGGATGCTGCCGCGGCGGCGAGCGCGCACTTTTCGCACTTTTCGCCCTTTTCAGTCTCGGGTGTGCTGACTTCCTGGTCGTGGTTGGCGGTGCAATGTGCGCATTCGTGACTGCCCATCGGGTCCTGCGTGAGGTACTTGCGCAGCACGTCCGTGTGATGCTCGCGAATGGCAGCGAACGCGGCTTTGGCAGATATTTCGGATGGCAGCGGCCCCGTCGCCGCGGCAACTGCGTGTGGGGTGTGGCGGCGCGTCGGGGTGCCTGCGGCTGCGCCGACTGCGCTGTTTCGTGGAGACATTGGACTCGGCGCTGCAGGTCGCTGCTGCTCTGCGCTCCGTCGTTGCATTTCTTGCTACGGAAGGGGCCAACAAAAGGCTTGATCTTGTCAAAAACAAAGGGGTGTGGAACTTGGTTGGCTTGAATAAAAATTTACAAACTGTTGCAGCAGCAAAAACACAGAAGCAGCAGGTGAAGACAGTTAGTCCAAGGGAATCGGATCACATGAGTCGATGAATCTCAGCGACGAATGATTGGCAGAATCCAACGCAAAGCATCAAGATGAACAAGGACGACCGAGACGATCGAAACGGCCACCATGATGATGATGATGATGATGATGATGATGATGATAGTGATGATGATGATGATGATGATGATGATGATGATGATGATGATGATGATGATGATGATGATGATGATGCGCAAAGAGACAGAGTCCTGATCAGCGCTGCACAATCAGAAAAGAAGCAAAAAAAATCTGAAGGGTTGGCATTGATCATTTTCGCATGAGGGATTAAGATTGCCGTTTGTGTGCACCACACAAGGAGCGACACGAGTTAAAGCAATCGTGAATGCAGATACAAGCTCCCTTTCCATCGATCATGATGCTCAATAATACGAATCGCAAAAAATAAAAATAAAAATAAAATAATCAAAAAAACATCATAAATCTTCCGCCAATCGTCGTCGTCGAGCATGCGGCTGGCTGATCGAATGGAAAAGCAGCAGATCGGGAAGGCGATGATGGCGAGACAGAGCGAATCCCAGCGAGCGACAGATTCACTCAGTAAACAGCCACCGCGCAAGTTGCACAGCGTGACGCAATGCGAGTGAAACACAAAAGGCGATCATTGAAAATGAAAAAGCGAACGAACGCGATTTTTTTTGTTTTTCGCATTTTAGCATTTTAATCAGAAACGATGATGAAAAACAATAGGAAAAACAATGGAAAACCAGCAACGGATGGACAAAAGATGAGGAACTAGAGTAGGAAAAAAAGGGGGGGGGGGAAAGGAGATGATGAGGGAGAGAGCGACAGACAGTTGGGAGCGGTGGATGAGTCGGA